CTGCCTCTGCCTCCCAAGTGCTGGGATTAAAGGCATGCGCCACCACCGCCCGGCTAAAATATTAAATTTTTATATTTAATATTGATAATGGACTGCTGTCGATGTTTGAAACAACAGCCAAAGAATTAATCAAGCTGCCAGATTCTAACAATATATAACAATGCACCAATACTATAAGGCTAGAAAATTTTTAGTTGTTTTTTTCTTTTGGATGTGGTGTGGTCAGACAGTGTCTCAAGTAACCTCAAGCTGGGTAAAATCAGTTTAACAAAAGACTGAGAGAAAAAAGCAAAAACTCAGAATTAAAGATATAATTCATAGAGCCTTTGACTAAGATGGGCAAGTACCTAGGTTTTACCTCCAGCAACACACAGACACACAGACACACACACACACACACACACACACACCATGGCTGTCGTAGCATATTCGTGTAATCCTAGAGGCAGGAAAATCAGGAGTTCAAGGTCATTCTTGGCCTGATAACTAGTTAGACGCCAGCCTAGGGTATAGAGATTTTGTTTTAATCTAATAACAACTAAATATTTTAAAAGACAAAATTAAATTAAAAACTCAAAGAACTCATAAGCTTAAAATTTTTTTCATGTATTTTTTGAAATAACCTTCATAAAGTACACCAGAGGAGCAGCACTGAACACAGTTTCCTTTCCTTTCCTCTTTCTTTCCTCTTTTTCCTCTTTCCTTTCCTTAGATCTTGTTTCAGAGCCCAGGAAAATCTTTAACTTACAACCCTCTGTCTAGGCCTCCACAAGTGGAAATTACAGATATGTACCACCACACCTAGCTGTAATATTTCTTCATTCTCCCAGGAGATTATTACCTAATTAATATTTTGGAATAGGGTGGAGTTTGGTTGGTGGTTGGGTTTTTGCTGTGTTGAGGTAGAACTCAGGGCCACTGAACAACATATCTAGACCTAGAGGAAGAGGGACTCTCAGTTGAAATACAGCCTCCACCAGACTGCTCTGTGGGCATGTCTGTGGGGGTATTTTCTTAATGACCTCTGCAGGCCTAAACAGTACAGGAAAGGTAACAGAACAAGTCAGGGGAAGCAAGTTAGTAAGCAGCTTTCTTCTAAGGTTTCTTTTTTTTTTTTTTTAATATTTATTTTATATGAGTACACTGTCGCTGTCTTCAGACACACCAGAAGAGGGCATCAGATCTCCCCATTACAGGTGGTTGTGAGTCACCATGTGGTTGCTGGGAATTGAACTCAGGACCTTTGGAAGAGCAGTCAGTGCTCTTAACCACTGAGCCATCTCTCCAGCCCTCTTCTAAGGTTTCTGCTTCAGGTTCCTACCTCAGCTTTCGCTGATGATGTAACCTGTAAACCAATGAAACTCTTTCCTCCTCATGTTAGTTTTGATCAGTATTTTATCATACTACCAAAAAGCATCCTTTCTCAAAAAACAAGGTGAAGCACAATCAGAAAGAATATAGATCTACACATAAAGACACATACCTGCACACACAGAACACACACAATGTTGAGAGAGAGAGAGAGAGAGAGAGAGAGAGAGAGAGAGAGAGAGAGAAAGAAGGAAAGAAAGAAACCCATACTACAGCCAGTCAAAGTCTACAAGGATACTGGGCCTTTATCCAAAGAACTAGTGACTCCAAAATCTCAAAATGTCATGTAAAACCAGAATGGATCCTACTTCAGTGTTTTTAAATGCCTAGCACTAAATTTTTAATAGAACCACCTGCTTGTTTGTTCAGTTTTGAGATACAGTCTTACTCTGTAGCCTATGTTGGTCTGGAACTCACTATGTAGTCTACTTTGCCTCTATCTCCTAATGAATCTCCTACCTCAGCCTCTAAATGCTGGGATTACAACTCTGAGATATACCAGGCAGTGGTAGCGCACACCTTTAATCCTGGCACATGGAAAGCAGAGGCTGGTGGATCTCTTAGTTTGAAGCCAGCATGGACTACAGAGTGAGTTCCAATACAGCCAAGACTACACAGAGAAACCCTGACTTGAAGGAAAAAAAAAAGAAAAGAAAAGAAAAAACAACTACAAGACACCATGTGTGGCACAATTAACTGCTTTTTCATCTATCCCAGTTAAAGAATTGTAAATACAAGTGACAGATACTGTATCCTCTCTTTAAAATGAAATTAGTACTTAGGACTCATTTAGTGTCCTGTCTCACAGATGAGAAATCACAAAGGAGTAAACGGCAGGGCCGGAGAGACTCAAATCCTTCCTGCTCTTCTAGAAACCATACACAGTGTTGCCTCGTCTTTAAGTTCTTCTATCAGTCTACTCTGTAATTAACAGAGCATATGTTTTCCATATCAGTCAGCGGTAACTAACTACACACCTGTCGTATTCCTGGCACCAAGGAATTTACACACAAACAACACAGTCCTTCAGGAAGCTCATACTACTATAGAAAGACCCAAGATAAACAAAATTTTATATAAGGTGAGAAATTACTGGGTTTTTTTTGTTGTTGTCCTTATTTTAAAGATATATTTATTGTTATTTTGTGGGCATCCATGTTTTACCTGCATGTAGGTCTGTGTGAGGATATCAGAGCCCCTAGAACTAGAATTACAGAGTTGTGAACTTCCATGTGGGTGCTTGGGAATTGAACCCAGATCATCTGGAGTAGCAGTCAGTGCTCTTAACTGCTAAGCCATCTTTCCTGCTCTCTTAATTTTTGTTTTTAAGAGAGTCTTGCTCTACTGGCTTTGAATTCTTTTTTTTTTTTTTTTGGTTTTTTGAGACAGGGTTTCTCTGTGTAGCCCTGGCTGTCCTGGAACTCATTCTGTAGACCAGGCTAGCCTCGAACTCTCGAACTCAGAAATCCGTCTGCCTCTGCCTCCCAAGTGCTGGGACTAAAGGCGTGTGCCACCACCACCCGGCCCTGGCTTTGAATTCTATAGGGAACTTAGGCTGGTTTCAAACCCATGGTCTTACTGCCTCAGCAGGTGCTGAGATTACAGACCTGTGCCACCATACCAAGTTCTGAGAAAATCTTACTACAGGTATGTCTAAGGTTCTAAGAGTGTAGAGGAAGAAGGACCTGGTGGTGCCTTGAGTGTTTTGGTATCCAGAAAAGAGGAGGAACTAAGTAGCGTCAATTCATTTCAACAACAAATTATATACAAAGATACCAAATCCAAGTTCTACCATCTCACACAAGAATCACCACTATTACTCCTCAATGCTAAACTTGGACAAATTCTTCTCTTAGTCCCATTTTCATTATCTGTAAAATGGGGGGCATACTACCACCTACCATAAAGAGTCATGGTGGGGGTTAAGTGAGAGGAGACAAACTTTAGAAGCTTACTATACTCCTTGACATGCACTAAGAAACTTTAGAAACTTTACTTGAGTGAAGCTAAACCATAAGAGACATCCAACTCCCACAAGTGTTCTCCAGCCTCCATTCAAGCCCACGAGTCTGCACACACACACATATACAAAAAATAAATATTAAAAAATAAGTTGATGACAGCAAGTGATATCAAAACAGGCACTAAAGTCTGAGGATCCACCTTAGTTAGATGTGGTGGCTCACACCTTCAATACCAACCTTTGAAAGATTGATCACCATGAACCTGAGTACATGCTGGGCTAAAGAAGAGATCCTGTTTCAAAATCAAATACTAAGCAAAGTGTAAGGCTACATAAAGCAGACTTGTAGGATGAGGTGTTTTGGAGCTAGGTGCTGGCTATCCACATGTGTATACATGGTGCATAAACATTCACTAAGCTCTCTGTCTACACTTACATGTGTTTCCTATGTATAATGTACGTTAGGTTCTGTTTTGTTTAAAGACTCATACTTGATCTGAACAGATGGTTCAGTGGGTAAGAGCACTCACTGTGCCAACAGGAAGATCTGAATCCAAATCCCCAACAACCCTGCCAAAAAGCAAAACCACAACAGCCATAGCCAGAGATGCCTGTAACTGGAGCACTGGAGAATTGTAGGGGTGGAGACTGGCAGAAACCCTGGGGACTCTCAGCCATACAGCCCAACTGAAATAGCTTCAAGTTCAAGTAGACTCTGTCTCAGGGAATAAAGGGTAGAGTAATACAGAAGGACACCAGACATCCTCCTTAGGCTTCTGAACACACACACCACAAGCACACACAACCCCCCCCCACAAGCACACACAACACCCACACACACACACATACAAGTAATAATGACTAAAAAAAAAAAAAATTAAATCAAACTGTAGCCCCAACCTAACCCACATCTTCTGCTCTGAATAGTTCACAACCTCGGGTATTTCTTGATCCTTTGCAACCTGAAACTCCTCTTTTTTTTTAATCTTTTCACAAACCTGGTCCTTCATTCATTCTGGAAAAGGGAAGGCAGTTTACTCAGGGTCAGAAACTAAGGAAATGACTGTAAAAACTTGTCTCCTCGACTGGCCTCTGGCTCCTTCAGCCCAATCTCTGTGCCTATGCAATAGGGTTTGATGAAGGACATATATGTATACATATGTATGTGTGTGTGTATACATATAGACATACACATATTTAAAAGACAAACTAAGAAAAACTTCACGACGAGTCTTAGGTTGGGCAGAGGTAACTTAAGTACACAGCTACCTTTCTTACAAAGGTAGTTCCTTCCGTCCCGGTCACCCACTCCACCATCTGCTACTCAGTGAAACACCTGCAATCTCACTGCCAAAAGCTAATACTTCACAAGACCCAGTGCACACAGCACCCTCGGATATCCATCCTTCCGCGGATCCCACCGCCCGACTCGGGACACTGGGACACGCCCCCTCGGATACCCATCCCTAGGGTAGTAGGGCTCACACTCCACATCTCCTCCACACCCCATCCTCCACACCAAAGCTCCGCCCTCAGCTCGTGAAGAACCCCCAGACGCCGGTCAGTCTCCACAGAACCGCGCGCTTGTGTCCGCCTCCTCCACCTCCAATTCAATTCACTGAGGCTGGCAGAGCGCGGACCGCCCTACTCTAATCAGTGGCCTCACCTCTCTTCCAAGAGCTCAGTGGGGACACCACCTCCACCCTCTCGGAAATGAACTCGGCCAAACTGGAGCGAAACAAGGCCGCCCTCACGGTCACGGCCACCACAAGCACCAGGGCCAAGGGAGCCGCCATGATAGCTGAGGCGGGCGCGCAGGCAATGCGGAAGAGCCTCAAGACTTGCGCGCCACACTGTAGTACCTCCGTGGAGCGAGCGCCGCTGTTGCTGCTGGAGTCCGCAGATTTTGAGACTACCACTCCCAGAAAGCCCTGCGGTGGGACGACGGAGAGCGGAATGTGTCAAACTTCTAGCAAAGGTTTCCACTACATCCTTGCTCAAGCGAGAGAAGTGAATATTGTACCTATTTTACTGAGATACTGAGCAAACTTTAAAGAAATAATTTCAATCGTGTGAATATTTCTAATGTTAAAATGTTTACCATTATATTTTTAAAGAGTGCGACGTACGTATTTACTGAACGCCAACCATCCTCAAGGCACTATATTGTGTGGTGAAAAAGCACTTTGAGTGGTTAATTATTAGCTTTGCGACCTTCAGCAAGTTATTTGACCGAGGAAATTCAGAGCAGGAACTCAAGTAATGAGCTTGAAGCTAAAACCACGGAAGAACCCTGCTTTCACAGACGTTCTCTTCTGCTCATGCTCAACCAGCTTTCGTGCACCTCCCCAGGAATGATTCCTCCTCTCATTCAGTCAATTTTTCAAAATCAATGCAATTTCTCACAGATCCATCTTATGGAGGCAATTCTTCACCTGAGGGTTCCTCTTCCCACGTGACCCTAGGTTGTGTAAAGTTGATATGAATAACCAGAACAAGTACTATGGCAACTACTGTATAAGGATGCACTTCTGCTTTTCTTGGTTCGTGTTGGCAGCTTGAAATCCCTCCAGGTGGGAGTGTGTACAGCTCAGAGATAAGCAAACATAACAAGTCAGGGGTTTGGAGAGCCCGTTGATAAGCTTTAACAGCATACCACACTTCAGTCGTTTATGTATAAAAAGTGCTAAATGAGTGCTTGAAAATTAGCTATAATAATTAACTATACAAGGAATTTGTATGCCCATGAAGAAAACGGAAGTACATCTATGGTATAACCATGGTTAACAAAAAGTATTGAATACTTCATAATACGTAGTAGAGGCTTTTGACTTTTCCTAACACAAGTAATGTCTAAAGTCTTATGTCAGTTACCCTATGATTATTATACTTGTATACTATGTTGGGTTATCATACTGTACCCCATAAATAGGTAAGCTGTTTCAGTTAAAGAGGAAAAACTGTATTTTATTTTATTTATTTATTTATTTTATTATTATTAATTTTTTTTTTTTTTTTGGTTTTTCGAGACAGGGTTTCTCTGTGTAGTCCTGGCTGTCCTGGAACTCACTCTGTAGACCAGGCTGGCCTCGAACTCAGAAATCTGCCTGCCTCTGCCTCCCAAGTGCTGGGATTAAAGGCCTGCGCCGCCACCACCCTGCTGAAAAGCTGTATTTTTAAAAAAGAAAAACAAATGCATGATTGAGAATACCCATGGGGGAAGGGAGGGATGCTTGTGACACAACAAGGTGACATTTTAGATGAGAACCGCAGGATGAGTTCTTGTGGCTTCCAAGCAGAAGGGAGGATGGACTCAGAGTCAGGAAACAACAAATATAAATGGGAATCAGAAAAGAGGGCTGGAGAAAGGGTTCAGCCCAAGGCTAGGCTAACAACCAAAAGGACAAGAGGATCAGCAGAAAAATGAGTGTGGTCCAACAGAGGAGAACAGCATCCATTGTGGAAGGAGACACACATAAGCAGACAAGCAGGGGCAAGTGGCTGTGGTTAACAATCTGGGGATTATTCAAAGTACACACTATGTGTCATTGTAAAGTTTTATTTTTATTTTGAGTTATTTTGGTTTCCAGATACTGGAACTTTATATAGCTCAGGCAAACCTTGAATTCACTGTGTCTGAAGATGTCCTTGAAAGTCTGATCCTCCTATCTCTGCCTTCCCAGTACTGATATGGCAGGCTTGTGCCACCAATCTGGCCTTTATTGTTTGTATTTTTGTGTTTTGAGATGGAGTCTTACCGTGTACACCCTGGCTGACCTAGTAATCTCTATGTGATTTAAAGTGACTTCAAATCTGTGACAATCCTTTTTTTAAAAAAAAAAGATTTATTAATTTATTTTATGTACACGAGTGCTCTGTTTTCATGTGCACCAGAAGAGGGTATCAGATTCCATTACAGATGGTTGTGAGCCACCATGTGGCTGCTGGGAATTGAACTCAGAACCTCTGGAAGAGCAGTCAGTGCTTCTAACCACTGAACCATCTCTTCAGCCCCAGCAATCCTTTTTTCTTTAAAGATATGTTTATTTTGGGTGGCAGAGGGAGGATATGGAGGTCCGAGGAAGTCTTGCCTCTGCCTTTAGGTTCTGGAACCAGAGCTGTGGCCCACTACACCCACCTTCCATTGGGGAATTTTTAACAGAGTAGTATCAGATGTTTTCATTTTGTGGACTTTTTGAGGGATGGAGGTATTTCATTTGATGCTAGGGATGAAATCCAAGGCCCTGGTGCATGCTAAACACATGCACTGCATTACCTAACTCATTATTCAGGTGCACACTTCTAAAGGATCACTATGTTCCCAAGCCCATTTCGGTGTTAGAGAACAAGTCATGAACAAGGATGGCAGGTGGAACAGGATGTTCGGAGAATGTAAAAATCACCTCCAAGGGTCACATCTAAGAAGCAAAGGGCAATGAGATCACAAAAGAATAGAGAAGGACTCACATCTTTGAATCTAAGCATTGTGACATACTCATAACATGAGCTTCTTTGCACTGTACATTTTTCTTCTTAAAAATATAATGTTGGTACATGCATATTGCCTTTATGAAAAGGGGAAGCTAAAGTTGCATCAACTCTATATAAAGCCTACAAAGACTGGACTCTGTGAGATTCTTAGCACACATCCAGTGCCTGACACACATCAGACACCTGTTGTGTTAGTTACACCCTCTTTGTAAAAATATTTTTTTTAAACTTTATTTATTTATTTATTATAAGTACACTGTAGCTGTCTTCAGACACCCCACAAGAGGGCATCAGATCTCATTGCAGATGGTTGTGAGCCACCATGTGGTTGCTGGGATTTGAACTCATGACCTCTGGAAGAGCAGTCAGTGCTCTTAACCACTGAGCCATCTCACCAGCCCGTAAAAATATTTTTTTAAATGTTATTATTTTTCACATATAGGTGTTATGCCTGCATGCATGTATGTGCACCACACACATGAAGTGTCCACAGAGGCCAAAACATGGCGTTTCATCCCCTGGAAATGGAGTTCTGCACCATTGTGAGTCACCATGGGGGTACTGGGAATCGAACCTGGAAGAGCAGCCAGCGTTCTTAACTGCCAAGGCAGTTCAATGGGTCCTACTTACATCATGTTAATAGATAACTTAAAAGTTCTTATAGTAAGGACTGTCTCTGGGGAAAAATATGATTAGCCATTATGAATGGAAGTGAGATCAAAACTAATAGTCCTAAAACATGTACCTCTCAGTATCCTTTTTAAAAGGCTTACAAGAACTAAAACTCGGAAGCAAACAAGAGTAGACCTTCTTGGTGCCTGGTAAAGCATCTGTTTCTTTCTATAACACCAAATACATAGGAAACAAAAGAAGGAATAAGTCAGACTCTTGCATTAACTTTTCCTGGAGAGTCTGTTTAACCATGAGACAGCACCTGTGACAGAGCAAAGGAACAGTTCCACTCAAGTCTGGCTTGATGAATCAGTGAATTTACAGGGCTTAAAGATGCATGCATGACCCCAAACAGCTGCATCATGGTAAAGACCACCCAGCATGGGAAACAACTTCCAAAAACTGCAGAGATGGAATACCCCCTTCAGTTCATCTTCCACCCTCTCTGTACATTAGCACTTCTTGAAATGAATGCAGCTGGGAGAGTGAGGGAAGGGGTCAGAGGGAAGGGCTGAAATCTCAGGTGAGAGTTTTTTTTATGAGGGACTGCCCAGAAGCCTGACCTTGAGGGTCACCCCTAAATGATGCAGTTCTCAGATTAATAGCTGTTTTAAGCCCTGTAGCTGGCATTCCATAGCAGACTTCATCAAAATTGAAAACTTTCATGCCCCAATAGATATCACCAGAAAATAAAAACAGCCTACAGAAAATCATGTACCAAATGTAGCTACAAATGAGTGCAACACCCACAGAAGAAAGAAGATGTCTGGAGCCCGCAGAACTAGAGCTACAAGCAGTTGTGAGCTGTATGAGATGGGCACTAGAAACCAAACTTGGGTCCTTTGGAAGAGTAACAAGAGTTCTAAAATGCTGAACCATCTCTCCAGCCCCTTTTTTCTTTTTACATTTATTTAATTTGAGGAGAAAGGGTCAGTCATATACCATGGCATTCATGGGGAAGTCAAAGGACTTGTGGGAGTCAGTGTTCCTCTTCTATCATGTGAATTCCAGGGTTGAATTCAGGAGCCTTCCAGTGAGGCAGAAGATGGCTTTACCTGCTGAGCCATCTCACTGGCCTGAGAATGTATAAAAAACTCCTACAACTCACTCATGAAAAGACATAAGAAAAAGACAAATTCTTAAATGAGCCAAAGATTTCAACAGACATAGCTGCAAAGAAGATACACAGATTTCCAATGAGTGGAGTCCCTGATAAGATGCTCAACCTCACTGGTTACTGGGAGAAGGCAAATCAAAGTCACCAATGACCTATGAACTTCACACTCACTGGGATGGCTGAAGAAAAAACAAACAAAATAATACAGTCTGGCAAAACAAATGCCCTTGTGCATTGCAACTGGAAACATAAAATGTAGCCACTTTGGAAAACAGTTCAGTAGATCCACAAAAATGTCAAAACTTGAGATGGTCATGTAGCTCTGTGGTAGGGCTCTTGATGTGTATCTAACTTGGTAAGAAAAATAAAGCCTTATATCTATACAATGAAACATAGCTAAGCAATAAAATATAATGAAGTGCTGATATATATCACAACATTCAAGAGCTCCCTTCCTGGGAGACTAGAGGTTAAACCTACAGTCTTTCTCATGTTGAGCATGCACTCTACCACCGAGCTTATGAAAGCACGATTTTTCTTCTTCCCTCTTTCCTCTTCTTCCTCTTCCTCCAGTTCTTTCCCTTCCTCTTCTTCTTCCTCTTTCTTGTCCTCCTCTCTCTCTTCCCCTGTCCTCCCTCTTCCTCCTTCTGTTCCCTCTTCATTTAGGCC